TTCCTAAGCCAGAGATGAACAACTTGGTTGTGAAGCAAATTAAGAATTATTTTAAAAGGAAGAGAAACTTGTAGTCTGAGGATATGAAAGTTTAAGGTCCTCAAACCTTGTGGCTCCAGATGATTAATGTTGATAAGGCCAGTTTCTGTAGCCGACAACAGACAAGGGAATGATGTGGCTAGGATCTCATTCAGTTGTTCTTGCCTCCCCAAATGACCAGATATCCATTTATAGCTAGGTGTTGGGGGGTATGCACAACATGGCCTTGGCCCTCTCCTGCCTGATGCCCTACCAGAGTACATTTTCAGTGTGAAGTCAACACTATCATCAATCTCCAGTGTTATGCCCTCACCTGCCATGCCTTTAACTTTCAAATGTTGGGAGCTGATTATGTCAGCTGATGGGGTCCTGGCCTGTCCCGTCAAAGACTCCTTCATGGAGCTTCACCTCTCCTTCCACCCCACCTTTACCACATCCTGGATGTTATATGTCTGGGTCTTCATGTCGCACAATTGTATGTGATGCTGTGAAGAGTCACCTTCTTGTATGTTATTGGCATGATGGCACATGTAGTCGTCCCTCACTAGATTATGCAAACAAATATGAAGACATTAAACTCTGTTCCCATCTACTGGCCTGCACTCAGGAGATAAACTCCACCCAAATTAATTCACAAAGGATCCACAGCTTAATAGATTCAGATCAACTCATCATTCATCCAAAGTACATAACTCAATCAACCTTAATCAGTTCATTAAGTCAGTCGACTAAAATGAATTCATAGTTCCATAAATAAGCCCCGCGAACCCTGTGGTGAGCCTGGGCATAGGGAACTTCATAGGGAAAAGTTTGATGCCCTCAATTACACGGAAACTCCTGCAGGCGAAAACCATCCCTGTTCTTGAATCAATTTCAACCAATCTTGCCTGCCTCACTGGGAACAAATTGGATTTCTACCATCAGGATCCCCCATCCTATTAACATTTCTTAACCTCAAACTGCAGCAATCAATTTAGCAGGCTCACCCACAGTTCTGACCTTCTCTGCCAATGCAGTTGAGAGTCCTGCTTTTTGCTTTAAAGATCCAGGCTCCTTGTTACCTAGCCAGCATAACAGTTTGTTGGTGTCATCTCCTGCTTTAGTCCCTGCTGCTTAAGCCCCTGTTGGGTTGGAGAAATCTGGCTTCTTGGAGCTGTGCTCCCATGTTTTTTACAGTGGTCCTCTGACCACTGCTGCCAATTGTCACACTCTAGTTTCCTGCATATTGCTGTGGGTCACCGTGGATGGGAAAGCCCCCTGCATCTCCCTCCCTGGGACACACAGGTCTCTCCCTGGCTGCCTCTCTCCAGAGCTGGAAGTAGCTGGCTCAGAGCTTCTGCCATCAATCCAGAGGGAATATTGACTGCAGAACCATTGTCAGACACTCCCTTGCCCAGCTGGGCTTTTCCTGGCACCTGCGGTGAGTATTGATTTCAGTTTTCAGAGTTTCCTCCCTGCACTACACTTCTCACTTCACACTGGGTTAACTAGGGCAGCATTTGGCATGAGTTCAGGAAAGGACTTTCACCTCTGGACCCGTAGCTGTATGCTTTAACTTCCCTGCTATTGTACCTATACATTAAAATGATTTTAAAAGCATGTTAATAATGTGAGCGGGTTATGAGATTTGTGTTTAGATTCATCTCAAACAAGTGTAGTAAGAGAAATCTTACCAACATTTCCCAGTAGGGGATGCTCTAGTATTATTCTCTCTGGAAATTTAGAAAGAACTGTACTTCTCAGAAGAGAGACAAAAAGAGTATGTGGAAGAAGAAAAAAATCCTAGATGTTGTCCTCTCTCGACCCTCTGTTTCAATGCTTGGACGTGATGTTCCTGGTACCCAACCTAATAATACCACCCACAATATTGCCACTGTCTATGGAGTTGAATTATTCTAGGTAAAGAAGGGAAATTTGGAGAAAAATAGTCCAACTTCTAAGTTGCCCCAAAATGGCACAGGGGTGCTATCTTGTTCCAGTTCTTTTTTCTAAGTTTATAGCTGTTTTTAGTGAAGAGATTTTTTTCTTTTCTCTAGGGGGGAGAGAGCGTAGATTCTCCTCTCTAGGCTAAAATGGTTGTTAGAGACCCAGAACCGAACCAGGGAAGCAGTCCTCATTTTAAAGTCTCTTTGTAAGGGAATTTTGACTAACTATGAGATTTTGCTATATGCCCTTTAGTTGCGGGCCATAGATTCATAGGAAAGTAGGACTGGAAAGGACCTCACAAGGTCATCTAGTCCAGTCCCCTGCTCACAGCAGGAACAACCACCAACTAGACTAGCCCAGTCAAGTGTCTGTCTAACCTGCTCTTGAAAATGTACGCATCGGTGCCAAGATGCAACAGGGTCAGAGTTCAATCACACAACTTTGTAGGGTTTCTAAGACCTGTTGCCGCACCTGGAAAGCCAAGAACTGGCTTTCATAGCGGAGGCCCATTGCAATTTTGCTGGCCATCCAAGGTAAACCAGAATGGGATGTTCTCTCGTCCAAGCTCAAATGGGAGCTTTTTCTTGGGGGAGGTTGGTATTTTCATATACAGAACCAGACATTTTTTTACTAGTAAGTGTAGCCACAGAATCTTCTCATGTGGTGTCTGTGTAAATGAGCATTTTTTTCATTGACAATTGTGTGAAATGTAATTTGAAGATGAAGGTGCAGGTTGTTCTTCAACAGAAGCATGGTAGGAAACTGTGGGTGTGAGAAGTGACGTTAGAACAATGATGTGCATGCTTCTTTAGGTATAACTCCCCTTCTTCATTTTCACAGTCTGTCTGCATTATTGACATAACGAAGATCAAGAACTAGGCTGATGTGGGAAAATGTTCCGGACATCAATTGTTTCATTTTTATTCGTCTCGTTTCTACTTCCCTTATGTTTCCCAGTTCAGCATGGTATGTACTTGATATTCACTATTCCGTCTCACTTGATTCTCTATGCTTCTGTGTTGTTTTTCTTTTGTGTCTTGAAACGAAACAGGTCAAATCCACCATAAATATAAGCAGGCGTAATTTAGTTGTTGCAGTAAATTTGTCTCTTTTTTTAACTTCAGAAAAAGGATTTCTAAGATAGAAGAGGAAAAAAACCCAAACCATAAGAATAAGTAAAACAATTATACAGTAAGAATAAGTATAACAATTGGTAACTCTTGTCTTGGTACATTTTTTCCACCCAAATACTATTTAATAGAAAAAGAAGTGTGAACCTTTTCCTAGTAACTTAACTTGTTTACGCAGTAAAAACTGCAGAACATAGCTAGCAATGATGTAATCTAGAGAATAATTAAAAAATTGTCCTGAGACTAACAGCTTCCTACAAAGTAATTATTCACCAAGCAGCTTGGACAAATAATGTATAGATTGCTTACTTTAGGTCAGAATTGGCTGATACTATAGGATACAAATAGTTGATGATCAGTTCAGTAAATAATACTAATTTTGATTCATCAGTTAAAAGCACATCACAATTGGGAACATATTAGTGAAGACAAATCAGAGCTTGATATTAATATCACTCTGTTATAGCTATTAACAGGTTATTATTTTATTTATTGCACCAATTAGAGTCATAGCCAGGGGAAAAGTGATCATATTTGAAGTGATCATCTATAAGAATTTGAAACATAAAAAGGTTCTCGGTTATGATTCCTAGGAAGATAATGTTTCTTTTCCATAATCTTCCTGCTTTGTCTTCCTGAATTACACATGACAATAAAGGCAGCTATCTACAGACCAAAATGCCTGAATGATAAATTGTAATACAATCAGTTGGATGATTTGTTATAAATAATATTTGGCACAAATATAGTTCTGTTTCTTAACAAAGTTATTCAGTAACTGGTGCCAACATATAAATATAATTCTTAAGAGCTCACAAAATAGCTCGGACAAATTTATTTTCAGACTCTTTACCAGTTGCAGACCAGTCATTTTGCAACTTTATTGTTTCTTTCTTACTTGGATTGACCAGCTACATCACATAGTCTTGTGTCTACTTCTAGAATGGACAGAGACTAACAATGAACAGGTAAGAAATAATATATCTGCAGGCACAATTTTTCAGGTGAATAATGAATTGTATTAACATTTCTGATATTGTGGGGACCTGCAGAATGTCTGCTAAAGGCCCAAATACTAAGGATTACACAGTATTTTAGTCTTCTGAATCAATGTGACCAAAAGTCAACACTTGCTGTTATGAAATTTCTTTCTTCGCTCTTTCTTTACCCACCTTCAAGGAAAAGCCATAAAATGGTTGATGATAACCAGTAGGCTGGTGGTGGGAAGGACTGGTGAGCTGGTATGTAGTTTAGTTTCTAGGAGGTAAGGGAACATCAGTTTCTGTCTTACACACATGGATGGGTACAATTCTGTTTTCCCTGCTAGGCACATAAAATAAAGGGTTTGGGTAAATAGGAGAAACTATGAATCAAAATCTTTCCTCTGTAGGTCACTTCCCAAGATGAGGAGAGAGACTTCACTAGCCTGAATTTGCAGAACAATCTTCTATAACAGGAGTAGACAACCTCCGGCACAGGTGCCAGAGCATGACATGCAACAACATTTTGCTCAGCATGTATGCCTGGGGGTGGATGGTGGGGAAGGGGCTGGGGCTGCACTGCCACAACAAGGATCAGGCCCCTGCAACTCCCCCACTGTCTGCCCCTAGCACACTAACATCTTACAAGTCAAGTTTGTGTGTGTTTTTGGCACTCTGCCCAAAAACATTGCCTCCCCCTGGTCTATGAAGTCTTGTCTTGAGGTCTGGTTTGTTCTCCACATGGAACGGGTTGATGGTGAAACCTTCACTGACTTCAAATTCATTGGATCTTACATATTTCCACCAGGGGCACACATACACATATATACACACATATGTCCTGCTGTTCCTGCATTACTGCTGGATTCCCCAGCCATTCTGTCGTCTTTGGTTAGCAAAGCTACTGCAATACCTATGCTGCCCGGTGTTTTGACGGTTCAATGGATCAGTGTTTCATTTCGAGTATAGTTTTGTTTTGAAAGCACTGTTCCATTCCGTCTCGTTGAAACAGTTTTGAAGTATCAATCCTGTTTCGATGTTTCGTCCAGGCTATAATAGGAAGCACAAAACTGGAGGAGGAGCAGCCTCCCCTGATCGCAGGCAGATCAGGGCCTGCACCCCAGGCAGGAGCCCGGCAGAGCCCCGCAGCCCTCCCAAGGGTGTGGGCAAGAGGCTGCCGCTGCCACCTCCCTGGGAGCTGAGCCAGTGGGAGGCAAAGCACAGCCCGTGGGCTGAACCCTGTCTGCCTCCACCAGGCTTCAAGCTGCTGGGAACCCAGCTTGGTGCAGGCAGGGGAAACTTTTGAAATGTTTTGACTGGCCTTGTTTCATTTTGAGACTGTTTTGAAGCCCTCTCTTTCATTTTGATTTTGCTGTTTCAAGCTCAAAACAGTGTTGAAATGAAACAGTGGTGAAATTTCACACAGCCGTAATAGTCTCATTCAGCACAAACACTTTTGGCAAACAATACCATATTCACATTTTTAAATCCATCTTACATTCTTTTACGTATATAAATGGATAGAACAGCTGTAATGTATTCACATGAGGGTGAATAAGCCAAGACAAAAGCCAAAGTCTGTCCATACGTCAAAGAAACCTTTTAAAGTACTTCTCTCTTTAGAAGAAGAGGCTGCAAGGTCTTTAGAGAACTTGTTTGCTGTAGACATTTGTCTGGTTCTGGAGTGAATCATCACATAGGATTATTAAGATGAGCTGTGTGAAATTACAAGGGTTTAATTTAAAAGTGGTTTGTTGGCAGGTTTTGCTATATTGATGTTTGCACATCTCCCTCCTAGTTTTTCCACACTCTCATTCCTTGAGTTTCAATTTGAGTTCAAGGATCACATGTTAAAACAAATCAAAACTACTGAATTTGGCTGTTTATCTTGGTTCCAAAAGCACTAGGAAGCCTGAAATGCCTCATTTGCAACTGATTGCCA